AATCATCATGTCTAGATCTCCTGTCATGTCCTCTTGTGGCTGTTAAAATCCCTGGTTACAAAGACTGGCAACCTCCCTTCACCTCCACCTTGAGAATCCTCAGCATCATGTCATTTATGCATATCTCTCTGGTGTCCAGTTACCGCTTCACTTCTAGCTACTGGAATTTCTTTTACTTTCTAGTGAACTCAACAATACATCTAAAAGGATTTTATAATACTTAACTAGGAGTGTTTCCAAGTTGTCTCGTCTGACAACTTGCTTCAGCAATAGTCATTTGACCCTTTCAACAATATAAGACAAGTGACCATTTTACAGATGAGAAAACTAAAATTCAGAAAGGTTAAAGATCTATACTAATTGCCGAAACCGGTTTGGCTCAGTGGAGAGAGCGTCGGCCTGTGGACTGAAAGGTCCCAGGTTCGATTCCGGTCAAGGGCATGTACATGGGTTGTGGGCACATCCCCAGTAGGGGGTGTGCAAGAGGCAGCTAATCAATGATTCTCCTTCATCAATGTTTCTAACTTTCTATCCCTCTCTCTCCCTCTCTGTAAAAAATCAATAAAATATATTAAAAAAAAAAAAAGATCTACACTAATAAAAGAGTAACATGCAAATTGACCATACCTCTGCTACACCCAACAGTCACCAGCCAATCAGAGTGAGTATGCAAATTAACCCCAACCAAGATGCCTGAAACCAAAAAGAGCAGGAGGGAGGCTTGGGTTTCTCTGGCAATGGAAGAAGCCAAGCTTTCTGCCTGCCGTAGCTGGCCTAAGCTTCTACTCAAGGCTATAAAGTTTCAATTATAGAAGGTAAACAAATCCAAACAGAAATGGCAGCAGCCACGGAGCAAGCAGAAGGCTTGGCTCCACTCCAGGCTACAAAGTTTCAGTTGTAGAAGATAAATAAATCCCAGATACCAGGGCCTCTGCTTGGGTTTCCAAGGGGCATGGCTGGCCTGCAAACCACCACAGGCTCCTCGCCCAGGCCGCCCCCCACCCCAAGGGAACCCTCACCCTGATCCAGGATACTCTTCAGGGCAAATAAGCTGGCCCCCACCCATGCACCAGGCCTCTATCCTATCTAATAAAAAAGTAATATGCAGATTGACCATCACTCCAACACACAAGATCAAGATTGCTGCTCCCATGTGGTCAAAGATCCTGCTCCCATGTGGACACAAGATGGCCACCACAAGATGGCCAGCAGGGGAGTGCAGTTGGGAGGGACCAGGCCTGCAAGGGAGGGCAGTTGTGGGTGATCAGGCAAGCAAGGGAGGGCAGTTGGGGGTGATAAACCTTGCAGGGGAGGACAGTTAGGGGTGACCAGGCTGGCAGAGGAGGAAAGTTGGGGGCAGACAGGCTGGCAGGGAGCAATTAGGCATCAATCAGGCTGGCATGGGAGTGGTTAGGGGATGATCAGGCTGGCAGGCAGAAGCGGTTATGGGCAATCAGGAAGGAAGGTAGGTGAGCAGTTGGGAGCCAGCAGTCCTGGATTGTGAGAGAGATGTTCGACTGCCCTTGAGGGGTCCCAGATTGGAGAGGGTGCAGGCTGGGCTGAGGGATAGGACCACCCTCCCCTGTGCATGAATTTCGTGCATCAGGCCTCTAGTTTACTATAATTAGGTTCACAGTTGTAATTAAATAATTATTCATACAAATATCAAATTATTCATCTTTTTCTCTAGATTTTAAATTCTGTAACAGGATTGATCCATGACTATTTTCACCACTGAATCCTCAATGAGTAGCATAGTGCCTAACTCATACTAGGTGGTTGATAAATATTAATTCATTCTTTAATGGCTAATAAGTGGCAGAAGCAGAATTAGAATCCAGGTCTTCTAAATCATAATTCACTATACTCAGTGTCTAAAGTAAACAGTGATCGGAGTTAATAGGAAAACTCAAAGAGAGGACCTAGTCTGAAGGAGAATATCCTCACCCATCCCTGGTTACTTATATGTCATTTATTAATTCACTCAGGTATTCAATAGGTTGCCGAGTTCCTATCAGAGGCACTGTGCTAAGCACTGGAGACATAATAATAAATAAAATAAACAAGCCTCTGACCACATGGAGGTGACAGACACTAACAGTCACACATGTAAATTTAAGCCTCAACTATGACTTGTGCTGTGTGGGATGGATGATGGTAATGGCCAATGATGGAAATGGCATAGATCATGAGGTCATTTCCCAAATTTAGTATTTTATGGACACAGACTCCAAAGCACGACAGTTAAGTGATACGTAAGGGTCTTAAGGTCAGTGGGGAAGCTACAACTATTCTAGCACTAACTCTAGAGCCCTTTCAAATACAATAAGTATAGTGGTTGAAAACATGAGCTTTGAAATCAGATAAATATGAGTTTGAATATCCACTTCTTCTTTTATTGGCCTACTCTCTTTGAGTTGGTTCTTTATCTATCGAATGGCAATAAGAACTACTCACAGAGTTGTTGTGAAGATAAAATGAACCATTAATATCTGTAAAATTATCATAGGCTCATAGTCAATGAATGGTGGATTTATTTTTCCTTTATCTAAGAACTAGTGCATTAAATAGGAGCTACATTACTTCTCTTAATATCTTCTCCCTGGATTTCCGTCACCAGCACTAATTTCTTCAGATGTCCAAATTACCTGTTTCCTTATCTATTTAATTACTACTTCTATCAATACGCTTATGTCCAGAACACTCCTCTAAACTCTACATCTATGCACTCAAACTGCCTACCCAGCAGCTATAACTGGATATCTGAAAAGATTTTCAGTCTTAAAATGATCCCTAATGATAAGGATTTCGATATCACCCCTTTTCTCCCCCTTACCCTTGCTACTCTTAAGGCTTTCCCAATCTCAGTTAATGCCAGCTTCAATTTTACAGCGGTATAGGACAAAAGCATTGAAGTCACCTTTGACTCTTCTATCTCCTTCTCCCTCTCAGCAAATCCTGTTTTCTCTATCTTTAAAATATATCTAGAATAGGAAAACCTCTCTCTACCTCCATCGCCACTATCCTGATCTGTGAATGTTGATTTTATGTCAATTTGGCTGGGCTACGGTACCCAGATATTTAATCAAACATTATTCAGGAAGTTTCTATAAATGTGTCTTTTGTATGAGATTAGCATTTAAATCTGTGGCCTCTGAGTAAAGCAGTTTACCTCCATAATGTGGGTAGGTCATATCTAGTCAGTCAGAGGCCTTAATAGACTACATGTTTAACTTCCTTATCTTGTTTTTTAGCTATTATTACCTCCACCAGAAATGTAAGCTCAATGAAGGCAGGGAGTTTTATCTGCTTTTTCACTGCTTTAATACAGTGTTTATGGTCCTGGCACTGCTCTCCAGCAAGAAGGATGTGGTGTCAGCAGGTTCCAAGCGATTCAAGCTCCATAAGGGATGATAAAGGTTGTTTACAAAGATGGACCATATGGGAAAGTAAGAGCTCGTGCAAGTGCAACATTGATGACACGATTGGGGACCTTAAGAAGCTGGCTGCAGCCCAAACTGGTAGCCTTTAGAACAAGATCGTACTAAAAAGTGATACACAATTTTTAAGGACCACATTTTTCTGGGATGAACCTGGAGCTTTATTACCAACAGTGCATAATCCTCCCATCCAACCTGCCTCTACTGTCCCCTTTCCTCCTATCCTTACTTCCCACATTGGTACAGATGATTGTTTTTAAAAAGTCATGCTAATAAAAACTTAGAAGCAGAAAAAAAAACAAAAAAAACCGACAGTTTATATAATAGAACAATGCCTGGTACATAGTAAGTATTCAATATAAATTTAAGTGAAAGAAAAAAAAACCTAAAATGTCCTCACTTATACTTCATTGACTTTCCATTCTCTATCACACAATGGCTGACTATTTTTCTTCTTTTCTGAGCCCACTTCTGCTGCCTCACTAATCATCAGGATCAGGGTTTCATCAACACTTTTAGTTTATAGCCTGAGGGTCTGCCAAGCATGTCAAATTCAAAGGCTAACAGAGGCCAAATAAATAAGGCATGCAGCCCATACATGCTTGGACTGATACCTAAAATTCTCAACTCAGTCAATCTGCCAAATTATTATATTCCCTTCCTCAAGGACGGGATGAAGTCTTTATTAAAACAAAAACTTCCCTAACCTAAAGACGGCAGGTGAAGAATGATATTAATTTATTTTTCAGAAGCAATTTTCTTCTCTTCTAATGTCCAACTTCCTACACATACTGTAAATACACTGAATACTGTCTTATTTGCCTCTTTGATTAATATGGTTGGTGAAATAAGTATAAGTAACACTTAAATAGAATTATAGTGAAAATAAGGCAATAATATATGCTACGCTTTTAAAAAGTGGCAAAAAAGTTTAGAATATATTATCAGATTTTAGCAAGTGATGGTAAAGAAAAGGGAACACTGAGAGACAGACATTACATGTATGAATTTTAAGGTTTTTCTTTCTTTTTAATCCTTGCCCCAGGATATTTTCCCACTGATTTTTAGAGAGAGGGAAAGACAGAGAAACACACATATGAGAGAAACATATTGATTGGCTGCCTCCTGCATGAGCCCAGACCAGGTGCTGGGCCTGAGAGGAGCCTGCAACCAAGGTACATGACCTTGACTGGAATCGAACCTGGGATCTTTGGGTCCACAGAACAACGTTCTATCCACTGAGCCAAATCAACTAGGGCTTAAGTTTGTTTTTAATGAGCCAATTTTGATTTCTAAAGTTAGTATTAGTTTGAATTGCATTAATACAGTTAATAATTACTATGTTCATTTATATTGCTATAATTTATTCATTCATTTATTAATGAAACATTGATTACTGACTATGAACCAGAAACAAGAGCTATAAAAATAATTAAAATATAGATATTTCATGAGTTTAGGGAGTGTGATAAGCAGTTATATAAGCAAAAAAATTAATACAGTGTGATAAATGATGCTAAAGTATCAATACAGTTCAGAGAAAGTGTAATATCTACTTACGTTAAAAAGTTGTTTTTTAACATATGTTCTAATCTGTCCTTGGTAAGAAAAGAAAAAAAAGAAAATTTATTGTTAACTGTAATTGTATTCATTAGATATTAACATATTTAAAGAGTGGATGTGCTGGGCTTTATTTACCAAATGAATTACCTTTTGGCCAGGAGCAATGAATTTGTGGCAGAGCGCAACATCCTCGGGACAGCTGGCGAGAACCATCGCTGTGACGGACTTGAAGAGCCCCTCCATGACCTGAGAGCAATGACAGAACAGCCTGACTTGGGAGCCACTTTATGCGTAGGACCTGTTGAGGGTATTGGAAGCATTGGTTCCAGGTTTAGCAACTATCAATTGGTCAGGCCACCTTGTTCTGAATGCACTACAGCAAGTTCAGTTTCCCAGATTGATTAGAGGAGGAATTGCAACTTCTCAGAGGGGGAAAAATGAGACAGAATAAGTTTACATCTTTTGTCAACAGCTTCATTACCGATATTGAAGTTGGATGTCAAATAAACGGCTAAAACTGATTGATGCCTCTCTAAATTTCAATATACTCACTTATAGAATCATAGCAACAACAGTACTTAGTTGCAGGATTGTTGTAAGAGCTAAATGAAATAATACATGTAGAAGATTTAGCTTAGTACCCAACCCACAGAAGCACAACAAATATTAGTTATGAAGAGTGAGATACTTTTAAAAGTGTTTCATTCAGTCACTGGTAAAGGAAAGTAAACTTTAAAAGCAGAGAGGCAATAAGCTATATCTAAGTATATATACATTTTTGCTTTTCTAAAGCATAAAGCAAAAAATAACCAATCATTATATAACAGAAATCAGCATACACACTGTAAACCTACTTTTGCCTCCCTGTGATAAGAATTCATTCTATCAGAAGTGTCCATAGAAACCTCATGGGGAAAACTTATTCGTAGAAGAAGTAAGTGACTGAAATGGAAAATATTTCTAAAATATTTTTAACGCAAACTAAAATTATTTGCTTAGCCGAAACCGGTTTGGCTCAGTGGATAGAGCGTCGGTCTGTGGACTGAGGGGTCTCAGGTTCGATTCCGGTCAGGGGCATGTGCATGGGTTGCGGGCATGACCTCGGTGGGGGGTGTGCAGGAGGCGGCTGGTCAATGTTTCTCTCTCATCGATGTTTCTGGCTCTCTATCCCTCTCCCTTCCTCTCTGTGAAAAATCAATAAAATATATTTTAAAAAATAAAAATAAAATTATTTGCTTAAAGTCAATGAAATCATAATAGGCCTTTCAAATGTCATACTCGTAAAGATACATGCATTTATTAAGCACAGGCTGCCTCTCTGGCATCACTGGTGAATCCTATCAAGGCTGCAAATGCAGGGAGTGTGTGTGTGTGTGTGTGTGTGTGTGTGTATGTGTGTGGGGAGTGAGGATGAGGGGGTGGGGGGCATAAGTGTTTAACTGAAGTAATATAATATGACTGGATGTAACAAAGTATTTAATTACCAAGTGATAACCTGATATATTTATATATACATAATACTTTTATATTTATATATACTTTACATTTTTATATTTGGAAATATATATGGATACATAATAATAGAAGGAATAATTGGATAAAAGAAGAGCAAAAGGAGGCCAAAGATCTTTTACCTTGAGGCTGTATCTCCTTCACTCTAGCAACGAGATAAAGAAATCACTAAGTAACTAAATGATTTATGAAGAGTCATATCTTCAATTACTAAAAAAAAGCCGATGCATATTGGGAGGAAAAAAGAACAGGTAGGTTGGACAGTGAGCCTGCACTGTTGAGGGACACAGTATACCTATCAGTAAATCAGTAAGATGAAGACTTTGACCACTGGAGCTGTTAAATCGGTGTCTTTCATGAGCAGTAAATTTCCATTTGAAGAAGTAAATCATTGGCTTCTCTAACCTTGACTTTCAGACTATGCTCTATAAATATATTTGAAGGAAAAAGAAACATAACTGAAGGGTCAGCATAACCCTCAGATGTTTTTAAAGGTATATTACTCAATGGCTCTAAAATAGTGACATGTAATTGCTATACCTCATGAGGAGAAAAATTCTTTGTTACAATATTTTAATTTAATATTTAAGAGACTGCTTTTCATCAGGATAATAATTCCCACAGAATGTAATTTATAAAAGGAAGAAAAGTTAAGAAAAACAGGAGGAGATCCAAGATGGCTGCGCCCAGGTGAACACCTAGCCGCAGCCGCACACAACAATTTCAATAAAATACAACTAAAATATAAAACGGACATTACCCAGAACTACAGGAAGGTTGACTGACTGGAAATTCTACAGCGAGAAGCAAGGAGAAAACCAGAAGGAGGCGCGGAGGAGCTGGAAAAGCCCAAGGTACGGAGACGTGGCGCGCGGAGAGGACGGAGCCGGAGAGGAGGGAGGCCGAGTGCCTGGCGGGCGTTCCCCAGCGGAAAGGAGATAAAACTCCGACTGTGCTGGGCCCCCGACTGCTCTGATCCCCAGTTCTGGGCCAGACCCCGGGGACTCAGGCTCAGCCATAGGGAGCCGGGCTGTAAGGCGGAACCCCGGGGAGAGGCGAAAGGAGGTCCCGGAGGCGCGCACATTGCGCGCAGAGAAGGGACGGTCGGCTGTGCCGCGGGATTGCCCTGAAGGGAAGGAGACTGGGGCTCCAGACTGCTCTGAACGCCACCTCCAACTCCACTTCCAACTGAACTGAACCCCAATACCGGGCTCATTGTGGGAGAGCATAGACTGTTTGGCAGCAGGCGAAAATCGAGGGCACCTTTCTCTCAGAGGCGCCAGCAGCGAGCACTGAAGGACCCGCATAGGGCGGGGCTGACAGAAGCCAAAGCTGCAGGCTCCACCCTGAAACCCCGTCCCATCTGTAACTGCGAAATGCGACAACAAAATAGATCACAAACGAAAGAAATGGAGGACAAAAAGCATCTGGATATAGAGTTCAAATCTACGCTTATAAGTTTTTTCAAGAATCTCTTAGAAAAGATGGATAAGGGCTACGAGGATATGAAAAGAGATCAACTAGAATTAATAAGGAGTCAACAAGAAATGATAAGGGATCAACAAGAAATAAAGAATACATTGTCTGAAATAAAAAATATTTTACTGAGTCCTAAAAACAGAAGGGAAGATCGCAAGAATCAAGTCAAAGATTTGGAACATAAAGAGCCAGAAGACACTCCTCCACAGAAGCTAGAAGGCAAGAGAATCCAGAAAATTGAAGATAATGTAAGAAACCTCTGGGACAACTTCAAGCGAACCAACATCAGAATTATGGGGGTCCCAGAAGATGAGAGAGAGCAAGATATGGAAAACATACTGAAAGAAATAGTGACAGAAAACTTCCCCTACCTGGTGAAAGAATTAGACTTACAAGTCCAGGAAGCGCACAGAACTCCAAACAAAAGGAATCCAAAGAGGACCACACCGAGACACATCATTATTAAAATTCCAAGAGCAAAAGACAAAGAGAGAATATTAAAAGAAGCAAGAGCAAAGAAGGTAGTAACCTACAAAGGAGCACCTATACGATTGTCAGCTGACTTCTCAACAGAAACCATGCAGGCCAGAAGGGAATGGCAAGAAATATTCAAGGTGATGAATAGCAAGAACCTACAGCCAAAAATAATCTACCCAGCAAAGCTATCACTCAGAATCGAAGGCCAAATAAAGAGCTTCACTAATAAAAAAAAGCTAAAGGAGTTCATCACCACCAAACCAGAATTATATGAATTGCTGAAGGGGGTTCTTTCAGAAGAGAAAGTAAACAAAGATAAAAATTATGAACAACAAATACATAACTATCAACAAGTGAATCTAAAAACCAAGGAAATTTAAAAAATCTGATGAACAGTATTAACTGTTGAATATAATAGAATCAGAGGTATGGAAGGGGAGTGAACTGACGATTCTTGGGGTAAAGGGGAGAGGGGGGCGTGGGAAGAGACTGAACATAAACTGTGCACCTATGGATGAGGACAATGGGGAGAGGGGAAAGGGCAGAGGGTGGGATGGGAACCTGGTGGAGGAGAGCAATGGTGGGTGGGGGGAAAGGAACATTTGTAATAATATGAACAATAAAAACTTATTAAAAAAAAAAAAAAGAAAAAAAAAAAAAAAAAAAAAAAAAAAAAAAAAAAAAAAAAAGAAAAACAGGAGATGACTTTTGAGGGAGCATATTTTTTTCACTTATATTTATGAGAAAAGTTTATATTTTAATTAATCCAATCATTCAACAGTATATGTGCTAAGTCCCACTCAGTGTAGTACCAAATATGTTAATTATAGAATATATAATTATGAAGCAAATATTATAAAGTTTAATAAATTCTAACATAATTTATGTATTGTTTTTGTAACTGTTCCCTCTGGACTCTACTTTGGGGCAGCGGAGACAGGGTCAAGGCAGAAGAAATAGGGAGGTAAAAGTATGGTTCTGTTCCTTAATACTCTCATTGCCCAAGTGAAAGAGTAAGATAGAATTGGGTTGTGGGCTCAAACTGAAAGCAGCTTGAGGAATTTACTGACTCCACGTGAGGCTCAGACCTGAATCGCTACAATCTAGAAAGGGGTTATTCAACAGTTTTAATATTGATATTTTTGGCCAGAGAATTATTTGTTGGGGGGAGAGGGCTGTGCGCTGTGGGATGCTGAACAACATTCCTAGTCTACTCACTAGATATCATTAGCAACCACTCCCAACCTACTCTCTAGTGATCTAGAACAATAGTGGGAGATGTAAAAGGGGTAGGAAATGGATACTATATGGCATGTGGCCAGAACAGCCCTTCAGAACCAAGAGTTTTCTCTGCTGGGAATATTAACTGCTGTTGGTTCATGGTCGAGTCCCTCTTCAGGAATGGTCCAGGCCAAGAGTGCTCTCTTACCGTGGTTTTACCTCTTTCCAATGACTGGTTGATGGGGGGAAGCACAAAAGCCCACCTCTTGCCTTCATATGGGACAACATTCCAGCTCCAAAGCTTCTCACAGAGCTGGCTAAGGCTTCTATTGTAAATGCATCACAGTTCAACTTCTCCTTCTGCCTAGTGCTGCTTTCTTCCTTTCCCTACAGGTGTTCTCTAGAGCATTCCTCAAAACCCCCCGATGCTAATCTGATTTAGAGCTTGCTTATTAGAAAATACAAAATAAGACAGGATGATCAAATAGTGAGTCCATTCTGTTTGGTGGTATATTTAGTATTTATGTTTTAAGTGGAATTGGGTCATTTACAGGGTGAATAAGAATAGAAGAGATATAAATGAATGAAAATGATAGCTGATAAAAATTGCTAAAATAAACATCTTGTAATTACAAATCCAAACTAAGATGTTAACCAAAAATGGTACTAAGTAGAGAATTCATAATAACAATTGTAAATAATTTCTGGGTCCTTGCTAAGTGCCATGAACTATGCTAAGTACCTTATATATATATATCTGTCTAATCCTGTAACCAGTGGTTGCCAACCTTTCGAACCTCATGGACTACTGGTTGGTGACTGCTGTTCTGAACTATCCTATGAAGTAAGCATTATTATTTCCCATTTTATAGATGAGGAAACTAAGGCTCAGAGAAATTAAGCTCCTTGCTTAAGGTCACATAGCAAGGAACTGATGAACAAATCCTGGTCCATTCCACTCCAGAACTTGTGTTTTCCATCTGGATTATAGCCACAACCTCTTAAAAGGGCTCCCACCCCTATTTTTATCTCACTCTAAATCATTTTTCATATTGCTGCTATAGAGATTTTTCTAAATTATAACTCTGACCATGGCCTTTCCCAGAGAGAACTCCTTCTCCTTTACCTTTTGGATTAAATTCAAACTCCTAAGCATGGCATTTCTCCATTCTCATCCCTACCTCCTGAGGATGCTTTCTAATATAGTTATATAGAAATTCCCCTAACCATAAAGATGTTTTATTTGTTTGCCTACGAAATGACAAGGGCTACTATTCACTGGGCCTGCAATGTGTCAGATCTTGTGCTTTACACTGTATACACTGTTTCTTTTACTCCTCACAACCACCTTATGAAATAGGTACTATTAGTCTCATTTTACAGTTGAGGAAGTTAAAGATCACCAAGGTTGGGTAACATCATAACCAAGTTAAGGGCAAACCTGAAATATGAACTTAATTGTCTAGCTCTTGTACTAAAGGCATTCTATAGATGTTTATTAAATTAATTAGTTCTCTATCTTCTTCATCCTGTGAACACCTTGCAATGCACAGATGTAAAAAATGTATACAGAGCATTTTAATGTTACAGATGCCTGACATTTAGAATCTATTTTAAAATTTGTGTACCTACCTGCATGATATCTTGAAGGCTCTCAACAAAAGAGATCTCGGCTTCTACCATATAAAACTCTGACAGGTGTCTCCGGCTCTGAGAATTCTCAGCTCGAAATGTTGGGCCAAAGGTAAACACTTGAGTAAAAGCTCTGCAATTCAAGATTAAGAGTATAAAAATAGGATCACATGATTAATTTTAAGTATTTAAAATACTCAGTGATGCCGAAACCGGTTTGGCTCAGTGGAGAGAGTGTCAGCCTGCAGACTTAAGGGTCCGGGGTTTGATTCCGGTCAAGGGCATGTACCTTGGTGGCAGGCACACCTCCAGTAGGGGGTGTGCAAGAGGCAGCCTGTTGATGACTCTCTCTTATTGATGTTTCTAACTCTCTATCCTTCTCTCTTCCTCTCTGTAAAAAAATCAATAAAATATATTAAAAAATAAAAAAATAAAAAAATAAAATACTCAGTGAGCTCTTGAAAGAAAAAAAAAGTTTTTGGCCTCTGTCTTGTCCACAAATGCATACATACTAGCTGCTGTATTTCCTTAATGGTTGATAATAAAAGTTTCATTAAAAGGGTTACATTTATAGAAACTATTTTATCCTGAAGGAATTTGCAAATGCTTTACAAACCCTATGGCTCACTAAATATAGAATGATAACCACCTCTGGTGCACTCCACTGCAGCTGCCTTAAACAGCAGGCAACTACATGTCACAGCAATCAAGAACAAAGTAAACGAAAAAGACCACAGCCCAAGAAGCTACACAGAGAATCTAGATAGTAACAGTTAAAATTAGAATTTCATGTCAATAAAGTGGGCTTATTATTTTTTTAATATATGAAAAAATAATATCAGATATGTATGGTGATTTGTCTTGTTCAAAGCCTACCCAATCACCCCAATTTCAATTAATGCTGAGTGAGCACTAAAATTTGGAGGTAAGAATGGATTTTGAAAAACTGTCTACTTTATCCACTGGTTTTAAAAAGAAGTATAGCTCAATAATCCCAATATAAAAAAAGATATTTTTAAATTCCTACAGAAGTGGACCTTACATCCGAATTCATTCTTTAACACGTATAGTCTCCTCAGAAACAGGGCAATAACTGAGATTAGGTCAAACATATAGGACGTAATGATTATTTATTGAGGACTATATAATTTTTGAATTTTAAGGTTTTGCTATGGAAAAAGAAGAGGTGTGGGGTTCTTCAGCTTTTTTCACTTGTCTGTCATCAGTCAAATAACATCAGAAAATAGGGCAGAAAATAAAATGCATTGTGAATATACATACAAGTTTTAAATTTACAATATCTATTTGGAGATACACTAAGAAGCAAAACAGTAAAACAATTATAGTGGGAATAAAAAGATTTATGCTTTCTTTCACAAAAGGCCATTTGAGTTAACACTGTTAAGCGCCCAGCCTGTTTTGTCTTCTGGATGGAAGTATAGTGGCAGTCACCGGTGACTGACAGGGTGCTTAATGTATTAAGGCTTAGTTGGTAAGAAGCTTAGAAATTTATGTTTTGGTTCTACAGTCATCTTACTGAGACCATGATCAGTTGACCTCTAAGAACTTTGGTTTCTTATGGAAAAATAAACAGTAAGAACTCAAAAATATTCCTATGGCAACCTCTTTCCCAAGATTTAGACCTGCCTATTAGAATGTCCTCGAAAACACTAAACCTACCTTGTCCCCATAAACAAACAAAAGACAAACAAAAATGGACGATCCTGATTCTAGCCAGTTTGGCTCAATGGATAGAGCCTCGGCCTGCAGACTGAAGGGTCCCGGGTCAAGGTTACATCCCGCAATTGCAAGCCCCTCATCAGCCTGGGTCCTGGTCAGAGCGTGTGCAGGAGGCAACCAATTGATGTGTTTCTCTCACATCAATGTTTCTCCTCTCTGTCTTTCCCTCTCTCTTCCACTTTCAATCGAAAAAATATCATTGGGTGAGAATTTAAAAAAAAGGACAATCCTGCTTTTCCTTTTACATTCCCCCCAATTCTGCTAATTTCAGTTAGTCCACCTAGTCACTCCAATCATACCCCCCACTTCTTCCCCACTGCCCACATTTCCGGTATCATTTTGACTGAATACAACATTATATTGTTCACACTTCGGAAAGCTCTCTGAAATCTAGAGACTTTGCTTTATCTCTACAGATACTGTCTTGTGTGTAAATAAACTCTTGTGTTTTACTTAGAAACCTAAGAAAGATTTTAACTGGTATCTGCCACTTATCATTCTTCCTCCAGCCCCAAACTACTACAAGTTTTCAAACTCAAATCTGATTATCTCAGCCCTAATTTTAAAATCCTTCAAAGGACAATATTCAAACTCCTAACTCTGACTCAACTGCCTTTCACAAAGCCTTTTCTCCAATGAAGGCATTCTCCTTACCCGGCATACCCTGCACGTTAGGCCTTTGCACAGGCTGTTCCCTACTCTCTGATGCCCATCCTTTCTCCTCTCTCTCCAAAAGGCAAATTCCCATCTATCCTCCAAGACTTGGTTCAAATGTCACTTTCTCTTTGTAACCTTGCTACATAGCCCAGAATTGAGCATTCCCTCCTTTTTATGACTATGAAAATTGTTTAATATATTTATTATACAGAACATATCACTCTGAAATGCAATTATATACACTGAATAGCCAGATTATGATGATCTCTTAACAGATAATATTCTGGCCACTCAGTGTATGTGTGTGTGTGTGTGTGTGTGTGTGTGTGTGTGTGTGTATATATATTATATATATATATATATATATATATATATATATATATATATATATATATATGTATGTATGTATATAGTAGAGGCCTGGTGCATGAATTTGTGCATGGGTGGGGTCCGGCAAGCCTGGCCCAGGGAAGGGAACATGGGCGTTTGGCCAACCTGCCTACTGGTCTAATTCCTGGTCGAGGGGACAGTTTGCATTTTATTATATAGGATATACACTGAGAGACAAAATTATTATGTGTTCAGAGATCATAATAATCTGGCCACCCAGTGTATATCGGTATCTTTCTCCTTCAATGAACTATGAAATTTTTCAGAGCAGGAGTAAAGCTTTATTCATATTTGCATTTCCAGTGCCCAAGATAAAACAGCTGCTGAAGTTGAATGAATGAGGACTAATGATGATGATGACAGGCTTGCTCAGTTATAAACTCAAAAAAGAAAAACATCCTCGCAAACAGCAACATTACAACCATGTACAGAAAAATATGCAGATATACAGGGAGGGGCAAAAGTAGGTTTACAGTTGTGAGTATGTGAATTATCTAACAGTGTTTCCCAAACTTTTGACATATGTGTACTCTTCGTATAATTTTCGTAACGCTGAGTACCTCTCATACTCATGAGAACGTAGAATTAGGCGCAGATAAGCACGGTGCAGTGCATACCCCCACCAAACTCTTCCCGTACCCCTGGGGGTACGCGTACCACACTTTGGAAAACACTGATCTATAAGATAAGTATATTATCTATAAGATCAACTGTAAACCTAATATTGACCCACCTTGCATTTTACTGTGTCTTCATGTAAATAGTGAAAATGATACATTTACATCAATAATTTATAACCTTTAGCAAGTCATTTAGCCCTTCTGTTCTTCAAATTCTTCCATGAGTAAAAAATGGTATGGTGGTGGAGCTTGGCATTAATTTCTAGTATCTTTGAAATGACTTCTATTTCTATGTTCCTGTGAAATTTCTCTTATTTAATTTATGCTGATTTAAAAATTTCTCTGTCTTCCACAGAAAGCCATTTGCAGCAAGGCTTGGACCAACCAACATTTAAAATAAAATGTGAGAACAGGGACATTTCTAAAATAAGATACAAAACCAGGTGAAAGGCCAGTGCGGCTGTGAGAAGAAACAAGTACAAAAAGAAAACACTCAGCACTACAAAGCATTCTTGTGCCAAATTATGGAGCGAGGAGAGCTATATTAGGAAAGTCCACAAGCTTGGAATTGATGTTTAAGATAACAAAAGGACACTCAAAACACACCAACCAAGACAGCTACTGAAAGCGGCATTTTAAAAATAAAGAGTGGTTACCAAACAAGGTTCTTCAAAGGCCCTTTTCTCCCTTGAGGGGCGTTTTAGGAGGTCCTAAATTGGCAAGTGGAATTCTATAAAATGGGCACTGGTTGTCTGGCCATTTATTCTTTTCGGCCCTGCAATTTAAGAGCTGATCTTTATATTTTGAAAGAACAGAGGAATTATTTTTCTTTAGCTGGGGAAGAACTTATGCAGCATTTGGCGCATCAGCAACTTTCCCTCAGGCCCTCGCTCCCAAGCTCCTATCACTTCTCTACTGTCAGTTCAGTAACGTTCACTGAACTGAAGTAACTGCAGACAGCTTGAAACTGGCTTTTAAACAGCCTTTGTCTACTTTTATTTAGAAAAGAGCTTCATCATCCAGAAAGTAATCATTGACTTTATGACTGCTTTGAATCTACTGGATTATCAATAACGTGACGTATTTGTCATTCATTATTTCTGCATGCTTAACAGAGCGGACTGAGCACCTTTTCAGCTTCCCCTATTCCTCCATCGTGCAACCCATTTGGTCGAAGGGTGTAAGAGAGACGTAGCTCTCACCGTTCATCAATTCACATCAAGATGCTTTAGGGGGAATACACTCTAAAATTTAAAAATTCTTCTTTAGCATTACTGCTAAACATTTCTGCAAAATTAAATTTCTTTAGCATGTCCTAAAGAGTTGATGTGATTTGCTTGAGGCCCAAGAAAAATTTAATCTAAGTTATATAATGAAACCCAAAGTTTGATAGAGACTGACAAGAATCTTGCAAAAGGGACTGCAGGGTTGGCTACTCTCTCTGAGATGACATCTGCACTGGGGAATGACATCCCAGCGAAGGCACACCAAGTGCACGGGTCCTGAGGCAGGAGAGAGCCTGACTTGTTAAAGCATAAAAGCAGCCTAGCAGTAAGATGATGAGAGATGAGGTCAAAGACATGGGAAGGTAGCAGAACACATAGGGTCTTCCTTACAAGCCATGATAAAGAGTCTGTATTTTATTTGATATGCCCTAAAATATTATCTCCTCTTGAAATAGTTAACATTGTATTTGACTAGTTTGCCTCCTATATATCTGATGTCC